ATACCATGTTAGTTCATGGCAGACTTTGAAATAAATTTTTGGTGCCCTGATCCACTATCAAATCTATCAAATGTAAACAAACCAGTAAATAACAATGGCAGTGCACAAAACAAGGTTTTGCCAATTTTGAAGCAATATCGCCTGCAAAGTGTCTTGTTTTTCCTAATTCAGAGCTTAAAGATGCTTCTTTATCTGAAGCATAAGTGTCATTTTTATCTTCTGAGCCATGTCAGGTAGTCATGATAGCTTTCAACATCTGTAACATATATGACACAGGGCCACAATACAAAACACAGCACCATTTTCTTGTACTGTGAGGTGAACACATGGCCATGCTTGGTGAAGGCCAAGGACAGCAGATGTCATTCTAAACAACAGGACAGTCATTTGGAACAAAATAATTGAATTAAAAATGAAAGAAGACATCAAAATTCAACTTTAGGGAAGGGTCAAGCAATGATTCGTGAGAAGAAAATTAACTTTTACCCATGGACAATTCATTTTGGCTGGTAAAAGATAAGGAAAGTTCTTTTAATAATAATAATAATTATTATTATTTATTTATTTATTTCTTCACACTGTGCTTCACGTAAGTCTGAGTGCTAATAACATAAAATATCTACAACTAACTAGATTAACTTAAACTATTGTAATAGTAATTTAAGCTATAACAGATATAAATTAACTGAAATAGTCTGAATATTCTTTGAAAGTCTTTAATAAGAGAAACATTGGCAAATAAACTAAACCATAAAATTGGAGCTGAAAACTCCTTTGGCCTTTTGTCTTAAGTCTTTTTTGTTTATTATCTGTTAAGTTTAATACACATAGATATATTCATGTTTTTGATTGGTGCATACTAAAGAGATGAGCATCCAGACACAGAACAAGGTCATTAAAGGTCAAGCAGTGATTGGTATATCTATTAATAATTACCAAATAACTATCAAAATTTTTTAAAACTTTACTTTCCACCTGTAACAAGCTTATATTTTCCTAGTATACAGCAAACTTCTAAATCTATGACTATTCAGTGAGATCAGGGAGGCAAGGCTTATGGTTCATGCTTGACACTAAGACTGGGTCCCATACCTAGATTGATCTAACAGGATCCATCTCCAAGGGGTTTCTCGCTAAATTGCTTTCAGCTTAAGCGGCTTAGATGTCTCCTGAAACTGCTAAATGATAAAAAATTACCCCCTATCAGCTTCAGTGGGCATGACAGACATGTAAGCTGCTTAAGTTGATTGCAATTTAACGAGAATCCCCTCGAAATTAGATCGATCCACAGTTACTACAATAAAGTCTGGGAATGAACCCTAATTGGCCATCAGAGGAATACAAGCAATATATGTTTCTTATGTTGACTTGGTTAGTTTGTAATTTTAAGTCACCTGGTGGGATTTTTGGTCATTTTGGATGACCACTTACTTCAAATACCATTTAAGAGTTATTTAAAGCTAAAGCCAGACAGAAAAGCTACAACAATTAAGATCCTAACTTCATTGTGTGACACTGATATCTGACAACAAATAAGGAGACGATTCACATCATGTAATGTGATTGAGAAAATGTATCTTCACCATATCAGTTCCCAAGGTAATTAGCTAAATTTGCAACTGATACACCATACCTAATATAGAAAGGGTGAAAAATACTTCTGATTTTCAAATACCTAGAAAATGGTGGGACACATTTAATTGTATAGCTTTTCAGGTCATCAATAATGCCCCATCTTGTGACAGGTGGAGAGAGAAATTCCACAGGGAACCCTTTTAGAAATCTTCTTTTGTAGCTTCCTACTTAAATGCTATGGTGATATAACCTAATATGAAGCAGTGCTGAGCATTTAATAGGGACATAAGGATTGGCTGCTACTTTTACACTAAACTCATATTTAATCAACTAAATTGAGACTGCATTGAAGAGTCTAGCTTTGAAGTGGGTCCTTCTTAATTGAAGTGGATAAACAGAAAGACAAGATGATGCTACCTAATTTAATACCCCAACAGATGCTGGGACAAAACCTGGTATCATTCCTATAAGAGCTGCAAATGTCATTAACACTGAAAGGCGGATGTCTTCAGTGGGAGGAGCTAAGACCCTTAAATAACAATGATTATCAACAAGAGGACAGCGTGTAGTGATAATCATCTCTCACTTTCTATTCAACAGAATGATTTTCTTCTAATAAACACAAATCTAAAATCTAATTTCCAGCACCTTGGCACACTTCATGTGCAACTCCCTCTAGCATGACCAATGTCTCTACATGAGTACATTAAGAGATGGGTGGGACTTGGAGGGGGGGGGTAGAGAGAGATGTTTAGATATTTTATGAAAACTATTTCACTTCAGGAATCTTTCTAAGATGAAAGAAGGCATAACAAACTTCAGAAAGGCTTGTACATACCTCCATTTAACTTTAAAGATGAAGAAGCTCACAACAATACTGTATGTGTACATTTTTTGCAACATCATCTTTCAACTTTTTTTGTACCTGGGTTTTTGATGAAAATGTCTACTTTTTGGCAAATAAAAGTCCTACCACACCCATTAAAAATCCAAATTACTTTTAAAAAATCCGCCATCAAATCACCCTCAAACCATTTTCTATTTATTTCATATGTGTGTGTGTGTGTGTGTGTGTGTGTGTGTGTGTGTGTGTGTGTTGGGCATTCACTTTTTATTCTTCAGTTGCATGTTTTTACTTCTGATACATTATCAACAGTCCTACAGTAATTCATTATACTGTTACAATAATTCTTCAAAAAATGTTCTTAGCTTTAATGATTGGGCAATATTGTCCACACAACTATAGCTGACTTTATTGTTATTTTTGTGAAAGATCTTATGTAACAACGTGAATACCCAACAAATGCCAAATGTCTAGGAAAAAATGTAACTTATAAGGCAAGTGAGAACCGAAAACTAAACAAAAGAATACATTGGCATATTTGAATGTGAATTTAAGTATAGATGTAATATCCACAAGACCTCTTTTAACTGCTTAGCAAAACGCCACCGTGCCTCATTAAGCAACTATATTTGGACTCTTACACCCCGTTCCCAGAGATTAGATCGATCCAAACTAGATCGACCTAACTCCCTGGGGGTTTACGCTAAATAGCTGCCAGCCGAGCGGGCACAAAAGTTAATTACCCCCTTACAGCTTGTAGTAGGCGGGACGGACATTTAAGCCGGATTATCTGACAGTAATCTAGTGAGACTCCCCACGGGGATAGATTGATCTAAAATCTATGGGAATACGCCCTTAATGACAAAAAAATTAAATATGGACTGAAATGGACAATACTAAGTTAAGCACAACCATACTCAAATATAACCAAATGGTGCCAGCTCTGCCCATGGGAAAAAAAATTTACATCATAACTGCGTAAAGACAGAAAACTCTAAACTAAAAAAAAAGAACTCATCAGCAAATGCTGACATTCCAGAAAATACCTGCTAAAAACCATTGATTATACATACTAATTTATTTGTTATATATATATATATATATATATATATATATTTGTAATATAATCACAGATATTTATTATATAAGCTAATATAACATAACATTTATTATATTCCTTTGTTACCTGTATACACGATGTGGCGCAAACGTCACGCAAATTTATGTGACGCATTGCATTGTCCATTTGTGGTCAGAGTCCACTTTAATATTTTGTATTTGATCTGTTTGTGCCCCTGATGAGGCCTCCGGCTGTAGGGCTGTATTAAACATGGAGAAAACAGATCAACTTTGGTCATTTTCTTTTCTCTCTCTCTCTCTCTCTCTCTCTCTCTCTCTCTCTCTCTCTCTCTCTCTCTCTCTCTCTATATATATATATATATATATATATATATGATATTCCCCTTTTCTGAGTTTCATGGACATACACCATAGTGGAAATCTGATCGTCAGGTTTATTTAATCAAATGAGCATTTAACTGATTATGCTGACATTATGCTCTTGCATGGCATGCTGCCTGCGTCACTTTTTTTGATGGCACATTGTGACAGTCAGCCTTTTATTCAGTTCATTTTCTGATAGCATGACGAATACTTTCTTGTCTAAACAAAGGTTTCTCTATGCATCATTGATCTTTTTACAGTATCCCTTCTTAATTATTGCATGCTTGATATTATCTTTCAATTTACACACACATACACACACACATACACATGTAAATTGATTTTGTCATTTCATTTTCTCCATGTCTGAATATATATAACGAAAATCAGGAAACATTTACAGCTCATTTAATTATTCTAATTTAATATTCATGTGACCAGGTCATTATGTCATCAGTAGAAATTTCCACTGTGTACGCTAGGTCCTGGGCCAAATTTGAATGGGGAAACGAAACTATATACGCACTAGCTGTGGTTTCACTGTCTTGCGTTTCTGAATTAATCAAAACAGGATTGGGTCATAACATCTGTGATTATATCCTCAGATGATAGGATTTCCTTACAACTTGTTTTACAAAACCCAGAGTGTATTTCAGGTATTTTAATCCTGAAATTGAACGATTTGTATAGTCCACATGTATGGTAGATCATATTTTGTACTGAATTTGAAAACAGAAACAATAGTAACGCACAATAATAATTTTTGTATTTCTCTGGTGTGTGTGCCATAGGTGATCCCTGAGATGACCACAAAACATGGCAATACTATTTTGAGAGCCTTCTTTTCCATAATGTACACCTGCAAAACAGACTGGTATGTCTGTCCCAGATTTAAGCGCTGATCTAGTGTCCTTTTCAAATACACAGCAATGTTTGGAAACACAAATTGTTTTTTAATAAAAAGAAAAATTCATCCCCTTTCCCATGAAAGCATCCCCATTGTAATTCAACACAAATAAATATTTTAACAGACTTTCAAAGACGACAACCCATTGTTGTTACCCAGTATCGTGAACGTGTTGATATGTCTCTATTCTAGGTGTTTAGAATATCTCATAGCCAAACACTGTGATCATACCGTTTTAGGTCTTTTCAGTATCGCTTTCTTCTCACATAAGCCACACTTTACCGGCATGTTCGGTCTTATGGTCTAATGGTTATGGTCCTTGTAGTAAAATATTTGTTTACAAATGGCTTGCTTGTGTCCGCTACGAAAGCATGGTACACTGATTCATCTTTTCCAATCTCCTTACTGAAAGAGCGATTTCTGCTGCACGTCATGTGCATCGAGTATAGGCCTACATGGAAGTAGGGGACATACTTCCATGATCGGTAATAATAATACATAAATGTATGGACCCACCAGCCACAAGGTCCAATAAAAATAAATTGTGGCAGTGCCACAGCTGTGAGAATTTGGTTTTAGATTCATCTTAAAAGTATTCTTTTAAATAATTTTTTTTATTATAATACATTAAAATAAAATTCTAAACACAGGTTGTGGCAGTGCCACGGCATGTAGGCCTAAGTTTTGTAAATTCTCGTACTCATTTCAGCTGTCATTTTAGTGTTAGAAACTCTGGAGGTAAAATGTGCCGTCATTTAGCATTTATAGCCTCGAGAGTTTCAAAACAAATGGTAAAATGAGAAAACTGAAGAATACGCGTAACTGCCAATTAAAAAAGAAAGCATAACAAATTCAATTGACTTTAAGTACACTAAATAATATATTATAATTTAAAGGTGTCCTATACAGGATTTTCTTTCCAAATCTTATTTCCATCGGGGGGAGGGGGGGGGAGTAGTCCTTTCGTTTCTCACTATAGGCCTATAGCTCTAGACTAATTTTGATTCGTTAAGACCACTATGACAAGAATGGTAGTCAGTTCCCCGTTACTTTGTACAGGTGATATACGTCCCATATACTAACCCCAATACTCCGACTAACTTTTACCTGCACTAACCATAAGCAGGGGCGGATCCACAATTATTTGAAGGGGGGTCCGCGGATGCGAAGCTGACCCCCCCCCCCCCCCCCCCCCCCCCCCCCCCCCATCCCCCCCCCCCCCCCACCCCACCCC